TGGTAGTTGCCTGTAGACAGTAACCAAGGTAACATGCACGTAGAGTGTGGTGCTAGGTAGAGGTGTAGCAAGAATGAGCCACGGGTGTGCGTGCGTGCGTGTGTGTGTGTGTGTGTTCGTGTGTGTGTGTGTGTGTGTGTGTGTGTGTGTGTGTGTGTGTGTGTGTGTGTGTGTGTGTGTGTGTGTGTGTGTGTGTGTGTGTGTGTGTGAGATCCCCGGTAGCCTAATCGGTAGGGAACTGTCCCGGAAAGACAGGGGTGCTGGGTTCGAATCCCGCTCGTGGATCCTTCTTTTGCGACAGATGGCTGACACACAGCTGGGTGACGGTGTAACTAGAATGACTGAATTGTACCATCCAACTTGTGTTTGCACAAGTATACTTCGAAATACATGCACTCACAGGGTCAATGCAGGTACAATGTACATAATAATATACATTGCATCTGCACTGACCTTGTGAGTGCTGAGGTATGTGTTTGCAGTGCACAAGATGTTAGAACGTGTGCTCTTTGCGGCAAAGGATACACACCTTCTGCTACAGTAATACGCTAACCGGCAATGCACACATGTATTGTTTTGAGAGTAGGGTGGTTTAGTCCCACGTAACGGAAACGAGAACGTGGGTGATACACGTAAAGTTCATGCAATGGACCCACGTTCGCAATGTTGTGTTTAGTCACACGGAACAAACAAAAGCATGAAGCGAAAGGCCCAAAACGTGGCCAAAGACGAAGCTTCGAATTCCCGCGAAGCTCATCGAATATTTTGATTTCATGCTTCGGAAACTTCTTCAGCTGAGCACCCTCACAGCTTGCACAATGCGCTCCATAATTTCTGATTTTCACGCACGTTCTGGCGGAACGTGGCTGAGCCTCCATACACGGTATGTCGTGAATCAGAAAACGCCTGTACGTGCACATGGGTCACTGAGTATCACGTGGTACACACACTGAGTATCACGTGGTACACACACTGAGTATCACGTGGTACACACACTGAGTATCACGTGGTACACACACTGAGTATCACGTGGTACACACACACTGAGTATCACGTGGTACACACACTGAGTATCACGTGGTACACACACTGAGTATCACGTGGTACACACACTGAGTATCACGTGGTACACACACTGAGTATCACGTGGTACACACACTGAGTATCACGTGGTACACACACTGAGTATCACGTGGTACACACACTGAGTATCACGTGGTACACACACTGAGTATCACGTGGTACACACACTGAGTATCACGTGGTACACACACTGAGTATCACGTGGTACACACACTCTGAGTTTCACGTGGTACACACACGTAAAGTACACACGGATTACGTGGGACTAAACCTCCCTATAGCCCTAGCTATTATGCCAACGATGACGTCATCATACATGCATGTTGTTTTCACCGGGGGTACGTTTTCTATAGAGTGGAAAACCAGTCAAGGTGGGATGCAGCCTCTAAGCCTCTGTGCAGAACAAGTCAAAGAATGGTGCACATGCACCGGTAATTTTACAACCCTCCAACCTTCAACACGCATGATAACAGTACTCCATGCAAGCAATCCTTATTGGAAGACAGGTTTTTTTTTTAAAGCTTTTGCTCTCCACCTACCGGAGTTGCTGTTGTCGTCTGCATGCAGCATAATGCCATCACTGCTAGCACTGCTAGCACAGTAGCACATGACAAGCGGTGTCCGCCTATCTGCAGCGGTGACTGCTGGGTATTGCCACATGGTGCGCTCGCGGTATTGCTGCGCCGATGCCGGCAACTGCTCCTTCGGCTGCTGCCGTTGCTGCTGGTGGTGGTGGTGGTGCTTTTGTTGCAGTGAAAACAAAGGCCGGAGTCACCGCAGGTAGTGTTTCTTGACGTAAACAAGCTGTTGTCCGCTCCATTCCCAATGTCTGCTCTTCGTCCCATCTTGAACAGCTGCAGCCGCTTTCTCCGGCCAGGTCCAGGCACAATACTCTAGAGTATGGGATCAGGAATACCCTGTAGCCCTGCCTGCCTGCCACAATGGGACCGTACTGTCCGTAGTCACTACTTGATGCTAGTCAATACCGGTAGAAGAACGGACCCTATTGGCCAGCTCTAGTAAAGTAGAGATAGTAGTGTTATAAGTATGATAAGAACGACACTAGAAGGTAGAAAAATCTGTTGGTAGAGACTCGCTGCCTCTGCGGTCAGGCGATACGCCACACCGCAACTCAACTACTTGATCTATCGTATGTCTACTAACCAAGCCGGCACCTTCGTGGAGTATATCAATTGTCCGGGAACTACTCGACGGGTGACCGCATCCCTCTCTCACCCTCTGCCGGTGTAGTGTGGGGTGTAACAGCACCAGGCGGTACTGAGAACTCTGAAGAGAACTGGCAGAGATGATCTACTCGTGGTCGTATCTGCTGGACAAAAGTAGGATGTAGCAGTGTGTGCAGTGGTACTAAAAGTAGCAACAGCAGCTTGCACTGATTGACAGAGGCTAGAGTAAGCTACATTCTAACAATAATCACAATTATTATGATCTACAGCCATCAACTGTACCAAGAGTCCATAACCCACACCGACTCTCAGTGGCTGTACTGTCTGACTGTGGTTACGAGTGAGCCGATACAATAGTGAATAGTGGTCCGCTAATACAGTGCGGTATGTACATGTATACAAGAGAGAGATTGGAAGCTGTGTCGCAACTCTGAGTTTCACGTATTACTACGATCATCAGGCGACTGATGGCTCCAGAACGGACATGTATAATGTATACAGATAAGAGTAAAATAAAGAAGGGTTTATGTATTCTTGATACAGACCATGGCATTGGGTGTGGCAGCTTGGGTGGTAGATAGAACGGACGGGACAGGCTACATGTTGCAAACAGCCTAGGGCACTACTATGTCTGTTTTCCTGCACAACTCGATTGATTATTCAATAAGGCAGCCATGCGGTACCGCTTACAATGTAGTCATCGGATATTCAGGACTACAATGTCATGTAGCAACAAGTTACATACATGACTAGTCGACTGTACAGTTGCATAGTCTGAATATCATTCCACTGTACATGTACTGACGCAAGACTCGTTCATTGGTCAGCGTATTTATACTGTAGCAGAAGTTGTGTATTCATTGACTGTGCTATGCAAGAGTACATGAGTACTAGACTCGTAGTCTACACTACAGCGGCGGATCCAGCGATCTCTACACTATAGGGGGGGGCAGTATAGTCAAAACTGAATAGCCGATACATGTACATGGACACGCATATGGTGGCCAGTATAGTGTAGTACATTTACGAAATTTAAGCGGTTCCACGGGGGGGGGGGGACCCCTGGAACCGCTCCTGGATCCGCCCCTGGTCTATGTACTCGTACATGTGTACGTATAGTCTTGGTGAAGTCTTCATGGCGGCTGTATGCTGCTCGGGTCACAGGTCTGTGCACACTCGCATGTATTTACCATCATTAGTTCCGTTGCTGGTGATGCACCTGCATGTTGTGTTTGCGAGAGTTTTGGGCTCCCCAAAACCTCTTCCTATGGGCCATCCACGCACACGTTCTCCTTGGCTGCACTTGGCACAGGAAAGAAGAGTGGATTTAGCCTGGACACAGCGAATGCATTTCCACCTGTATTTCCATAAGCCGCTTACACACAATATTTCCCCGCGGTACGCCAAACATTCCTGATAAGCATGGTTAGGCTGCGCAGAGCCAGCTAGCCTTACATACAGACATAGGCGGTACTTCACGTCCTGTCACCCGAGCCGAGGTTAGAATATGTACGTGTGTGTGTAGAATATGTGTGGCTCAACGGCCTGCATTATGGTGGGATAACTAGCAACAGAACACAGAACTGTGGTGCATTTAGAGGCACACAGCTTTCTAGTACTACTACCAAGAGTATCCCAGGGAGCTTATTTACTCTCGGTATTACACTGTCATGTTCCTTTGTCTCCTTTGCAACAATTACATGTCACGGACCACTTCCGATGGTGGGGGTATACGCAAGCGTGTGTGCGTGTGTGCATGTGTGTATATGTGTGGTGTGTGTGTGTGTGTGTGTGTGTGTGTGTGTGTGTGTGTGTGTGAGAGAGAGAGAGAGAGAGAGAGAGAGAGAGAGAGAGAGAGAGAGAGAGAGAGAGAGAGAGAGAGAGAGAGAGAGAGAGAGAGAGAGAGAGAGAGAGAGAGAGAGAGAGAGAGAGAGAGAGAGAGAGAGAGAGAGAGAGAGAGAGAGAGAGAGAGAGAGAGAAGGAGGGAGAGAGAGTGAGAGGGAGAGTGAGAAGGAGAGGGAGAGAGAGAGAGACATTGGATGTGACATGACTCTGACTCAAGCGTTGGTATAACGCTTTCGCGTTTCAACAGCTAGTTACGCACGTAGGCAGGACAAACGCATTCATTACGCCAAATAGCCGACCATTCATAACTGTGTTCATCTCGTTGTATACCCCATGCACACTCTCCCCTCCCTTATCCCTTCCTTCCGACCATAACCTTTATGGATGTCTCTGTACACTCACTATCCGTCAGGCGTCTGTCTATCTCACGCTAGTGTGCCGTGCTGTGATGTCCAGCCTTTCTTTGGTACATGGTAGATGGGTAATGCACGCTTCCGCTTCATTCATAGCAATCAGGGAGTCGTACCCCCAACAATTGGTTAGGGTACTGCTCCTGATAGCAAGTAGCAAGATACCAGCATCTGTATGTTGCTACTCCGGGTGCCAGCCCCGCTCCGTATCTCACTCTCGAACTTCCTACTTTAGAAGAATGTCAGTACTGTGAGTTTGATCAAGACCAGAGTACACGGGATTTTTTTGTACTCTTGCCTCTTCTTGGTTTGATGGATGCGACGTACCTAGTACCTGTGCTAGTCACTGAGACACTACGTGTTGTCCTCATACGTACCTATTCGTACCAATTCTGTATTCAATTAGCCTGTTTCCAGTGACAACAAGCCGGTAGCACCCTGTGCAGGTACCGATAGGCGATACTGCCCATCCGGAGCATTGCTTTGGCATCGCGGAGATCGGGTGCCTTCCATGCGCAAAAAAAGACGTACAGTGTACCACCCTCCCTTTAAAGTTAGTTACCTGCAAGGAATATCTCGATACCTGGAAAATGGGTAAACTAATGATGACTGATGGTACCGTTTCCAAGCGGCAGGTTCTGTCTTGCACAATGTACCTCAAGTACTAAGAATGCCTTTACCGTGAGTACAGTTGCTTCATTAAGGTGAAATCCGACCCCAAGGCACCAGGCTGGTGCCCTGAACAAGTTCTACAACTAACTTGTTTATGTACTTCCATCCCAGCTGCATCTACTGTTGTGGACATGGAAATCCGGTCGCACGTCTAGCGGCTCCAGGACGCTGGCCATGCAGCCGTGGATAAGCGGGACACACATGCATTTATGCGCTGCAGCCCGCTGGTCGCATCGGATCAACATGTGCACTGCAAGCAGCGTTCTGTACGCGCTGTGGGCGCTGGCCCCAGTCAATCGACTGGATTTCCATGTCCGCTACAGTACATCACTGTATTCCTCAATGTGTGTATTTTTTTTAATTTCGGCCAGTCGGCTCCTATCATTTTCGTCTTGGGGGTTAGACAAGGCCTGTAGGGTGTGTGCACCCGTTCCAGCAGCATCGATACCACTTACAGAGCGCCATACGTACGGCGTTCAAGTCCACGATCAACAAAATAACAATAATTATTATGCACTTGTGGTCGGATTTCACCTAGCCATACCTGTATAATCGTACAGTAGATGATCATGGTATGACTATTATGAGTGGCTTCCTTTACACGTCATTAGTGAGATCCTGTTTGAGGCAGAGTGGTGACACCCAAGCTCAACATCTGAAGACGGCTTTAGGCGTGTATGACGTGTTATCACGTTAGATCACTGGCCAAGTCCATTTGCCGCTCGCCTGATAAAACGCCGCCGCTTGGCGGGTACCATCGATTTCTGTGTGCACATTTCCCAGGTCCATTGTGTACTGGTATGCCCCTAAATAACCTTTGAACGCGGAACCAGGCGATTGGCCTGTCAGTGCGGAGAATGGGTTCTCTCCTTATTCGCACCTTCCGTGAACCGATAGTGTAATGCGTTACCAACTATCCACAATGCATTCAGTTTGCCAGCGCCACTAGCAGTCGCAATGATTTTAGCTACGTCTCTTGGAATTACACTCTTACTCTCCATTGTACGGATAAGTCACCCATGAACTCATCCTGGATCACACTACACGACTACATGACATGACTTTATTTTGCCCGTAAAAGAGGCCGTTACCCCCCCCCCCCCCCCAATCCTAGATCACTCTTCTGTGGGACAAGTACATGTATGTATGCTTCGTTATGTAAAGCAGAGTAACGGTCCCGGTAGACCAGGGGTATTGCCAGTATTGGTTCAGGAGGGTGCGATGACGTCACATAATGCTCCATCGGGATCTAAGCATACGCTGCATTATTTGGAGAAAAACACGATGCAACTTGGGCATTCAAGTCTTGGACACAAAACGTTTGTTTGGTCTTCAGTATGTCAACTTGACTTGTGGAATTCGTTACCGATGCAGCAAGATGCAGCAAGATGCTGGTAGTACAATACTCGTCATGTACATGTACATTGTTCATTCTAGCATGGAAAATGCAACACTGTCACGGCTGAGATGTTTTGTATACTTACCAGTACCAGTCACTGAGTGCCATTATTGGCTCTCGCCCCCCCCCCCCCCCTCTCTCTCTCTCTTCCTCTTTCGCTTTATTAAATTTTATTTATTTCTCCCTTTCTCTCGTGGTACAGGTGCAAGTACTCGTGGTATGTACAATTACAAGAAGTAGAAAGTTGCGGCATTATGGCATTGCATGGCAGTCAGGGAGTCGTACCCAATTTAATGGTTTGGGTACGACTCCCTGATATCATGATGGCAGTGCAGGAATTGCAGCACACGCACCGTTCGATCCTGCACACGACAGTGTGTGTGTGTGTGTGTGTGTGTGTGTGTGTGTGTGTGTGTGTGTGTGTGTGTGTGTGTGTGTGTGTGTGTGTGTGTGTGTGTGTGTGTGTGTGTGTGTGTGTGTGTGTGTGTGTGTGTGTGTGTGTGTGTGTGTGTGTGTGTGTGTGTGTGTGTGTGTGTGTGTGTGTGTGTGTGTGTGTGTGTGTGTGTGTGTGTGTGTGTGTGTGTGTGTGTGTGTGTGTGTGTGTGTGTGTGTGTGTGTGTGTGTGTGTGTGTGTGTGTGTGTGTGTGTGTGTGTGTGTGTGTGTGTGTGTGTGTGTGTGTGTGTGTGTGTGTGTGTGTGTGTGTGTGTGTGTGTGTGTGTGTGTGTGTGTGTGTGTGTGTGTGTGTGTGTGTGTGTGTGTGTGTGTGTGTGTGTGTGTGTGTGTGTGTGTGTGTGTGTGTGTGTGTGTGTGTGTGTGTGTGTGTGTGTGTGTGTGTGTGTGTGTGTGTGTGTGTGTGTGTGTGTGTGTGTGTGTGTGTGTGTGTGTGTGTGTGTGTGTGTGTGT